TATTATACCAAATTTTATTTAAATATTTTAGTTTTTTAAAAAAGTAGATCAGAGCTAAAAAAGTGCAAAAATGCAGGTAAATTTGCCTGTGTTCTACTATAATCTAAGGGATAGAAATAAGTTACAGAAAACTCTAGTAAAAATGTTTTAAAAATATATATTTAATGTTTTAAGATTATAAATTAATATCTGTAATCTCTTGATTAATATATATACTAGAAGATATTATAGTAATATAAAACAAAACTATATTACAAAGGGTTTAAATAAATAATAGGAATTGCTATTGCCATTTCCTATTTTTACTAATGCCACCCTCTCACTTAATCTGATTGGCCTTCATATACCTAACCCTAATTCTTAATTAGGGTTAGACTATATAAAGGGTGGCATTAGCAAAAATAGGAAGTGGCAATAGCAATACCCTAAATAATACTCATAGTTGTGTTGCAGGTATAATATCTAGTGTAGAATCTATAATGTAAGTGAACTACTTAAATTAAATATCAAAAGTGTATATATTATTAGTCAAACTTTTTAATATAAAAAAATTTCTCAAAATTATTATGTTCTAATACTAATCAAAAATTTTCTAATTTTAAAAAAGCTAAGTTTAAAAACAAATATATATTATATATCAAAATGATAATAAAAATAAATTAAATTATTTTGGTTTAAATAACAATGTAATTTACTTAATAAAAATTAGAATTTTTGTTAAAAAAAAAAAATTATAAAGTTTAGTTATATCTCAATAGCAAAGATCTTTTAAGATATAAAACTGGGTTACTTATATGTAAAATATTGTTAGAAACAATTTTAACTAGACAGCCAAAGCAAATTTACTTAATAAAAATTTAAGTAAAGTGCAAATATATTTAGAGGAAATTTGGTACAAGCGATCATTAGGAAAAGTTAGTGATTTGCCTTATTTAAAATCTAAATTTTAACTTTTGCAATTATAATTTGCAGTTTGAGACTCCTCAAGAAAAATCTTTCTCAAATTATTAATAATAAAACAACTCTACCTTAATTTGATTACAATAAACTTAATAAAAGTATAGTAAAACTACTAAGTAAAAAAATTAGTTTAAAAACAAATTATCTAATGTTTCTAGATATAATTATTTATACAAATTAATGAAAAATAAAACATGTAGAATTAGAATCTGATTATAAATATATATTTGTTAGTTAGGAGGCACTAACTACTTAAAATACTTCGTAATTTATCTATAGTTAATGCGTTAACATTTCGATATATGGTACGTATTATGACAGTGATATTACTTGTTATAAAAGATTATCGAACTTTTGCTTATTGGCTGATAAATTTGATTTAGTCATTTTATAAAAGTAAACTAAAGATAAAAAAAAGCATCTAGAAAGTTTTATTAGGGTTGTGGAATTCTACTACCAAAATCACTTGTTTATAAAGTTAGCAACGGCAGAAACTACATAGTTGTCGAATAACTATTAACTAACATGCTTATTCCTCTCAGTAAAAGAGGGTTTTTGATATTGGAATCCTATAACTCAAATAAATTTCTATATACTTGGTTTAAAACTTTAATATAAAATGGTGAGGAATTATATCTATCACATAGATTATAAAGTTCAGCATAAATAATTGATCAAGATGTGTATGAGTCCCACCTCGAATTATTTGCACATAGAATATGTGATTACAGGGGTTTCTCTATATTAATACATCGGGTGTTTCACACAACAATTTACATGACTTTAACTATATACAGGGCAAGAGATCTTATAAACAATTACTTTATGCATATACTATAAAGAAATTTGGGGATCACTATATGAGTTTATAATACCAGTAACCACGACAGAAAAAAGTCTGGAATGTAAATTTTTTCGTTCGATTACAGACAATGAGTCCTAGACAATATCATATTGTAAATATCAAAGAACTTAAAAGTACATGCACTTATTAAGAGCATGAAGTAGCCAGAAAGAATGTCTTACGATCATCCAATATCACCTGATGGGGTAATTTCTTTGTGATGAAGCAATTGTCCATTGTGTCCATTGTTAAGACCGATAATCCTGCATTAATTAAGACCGTATAAATTTAATATATATATAATTGATATTTAAGTTGATTGTAGTGAGATAAGTTTACTTTTTTGATATTTGGTATGAATATGTTTAAGATTATCAATACGCCCATGTTAAACATTTTGTAACAAATGATAAGCATACTCCCATCCTATTGGAATCTTCCCCATTACCATCATATCGGAATCTCCCCATTGCATACTGCATTACTACGTATGTATTTACATTGCTCAACAAATAATCATACCTAAATAATTCCAGTTAGTCCAATTAGTAGTCTTATTCATCCTATCGCTATCCTTATATCCTACGATTTTATGTTTTTATACGCATATAAAATGAAAAGTTTTGATATCGATATGTTATGAGTGGTAACGATTCAATTAAAAATTAAAAATTTTTAATAGTAGGATCATCTAAAATAATTGTACATACTAATAATTTTAAATTTAGTATTAGTGTTAAGAATTTTAAATATATTCTTTATACGTATACGCACAACCATTATCAGTTATCTTACCATATAATGCCTTATTCATTTAATGTACACAAATAAAATAATTACAAAGTTTCACATACTGAAAAATTCAGAATAAAGCTAAAGAAACTAAACAGTGTCAAAGAATTATTAAAGAATGTCTCTAGTAAATCAATTACTTTCTAAATAGTTAACTATTACAATTATGTAGACGTCATTATCCATGTTGGTACATATAGACCATTAGATATACTTTGATTATTGATAAAATTAAATCTATATACCATACCATACCTACCTTACTGAAATACATATGCTATGCTGTTAATCTCTTAACTTAAAAGACAAATTTAATATAATAAAATTATGAGAAATTTTTGGATAAAAATTCTTTTTGTTTTCTCAGAGAATTGTATAATAAACAAGTTATATATGATCTAAATCTATTTTTCTTTATTATTGCAGGATATTTATTTTAGTTTTTAGGCACAAAAGAAAGTAGATTAGCTCACTTATCTCAGACATCTCAGACAATGTATCCAATGGCATGGGCCATCAATAATTACAAAACAATCCGACAATAATGTATTTAAAAATTAAAAAAAAAAAGAAAAAAAAATTCAAATTTAATTATTTTTATAATTTTATAATTTAAAGTAATTAAATTTCAAATTTACAAAGGTTTTTTTTTTTATCTTTGAAATTAAAAAAAAAACTACATAATAAAGCGAATTATTGAAAGTTATTGGCAATTCAGAGACAAAGTGTGGTAGAAATTAAAATAATCATCAAAAGGGGATTAAATAATGAAGAAATTTAAATAGCCTAATTATACACCAATTTGCATAATTCGTTGTCTTTTAGCAATTTTATCCTTACTCTTAGGATTTTTCTTTACAGAGTTCTTTCCTTTTTTTGAAGTTTGTATTGGTAACTTGTCTTTACTTTCAACATAATCTTTTCCAAAATAATCATAAGTATTTCCTTGATTATATGGAACGATTTTTTTTCCTTTTGTTGTGTTTTTCATAATATTTTCATTCATTGTATTTTCAAACTGATAAATCACGGTAAACATATCTTCGTTATCATCTGGCATATTTCGATTTGATACTATAATTGGTGAACTGGACGAGCTGGATAAAATGGGTGAACTAGGGGAACTGGATGATGCAAATGAACTGGAAGAAGTGGATGATGGATATGATCCAATCTCATTGATTGGATTTGAAAGTCTCGATTTCTCTTTCCCTTTAGTAGTCCATGGAATGTTTAATGTTCTCCTTTTTCCACTTACAGGAGTTTTTGTTGATTGTGATCCAGAAAATGCATGAGATTTTTCTTCAATCATAACCCATTCACATTCATGAACTAAACCTTTTCTTGGTTCAATAAAGACCCATTCACCCCATCGATCACCTTGATCTGCAGCAGTTGTTTCTATCCAAACATAAGGAAATATTTCATCAATTGTTTCAATGCTTAAATGCGTGGTTATAGGTAAGTCTTTCGACTGATCAATTAAGTTCCAATCCTCTAAATTTTCTACATCATTTTCTTTAGCTTGATCAGAATCAGAAGAAAGAGATGCACGTTTTCTTTTCGAAGATTGGAATTTAGTCGATTTCTTTTTTCCTTTTAAATTATTTTTATGAGGTTTTTTTCTTGAATTTCTTCGAGATAAATTTCTTCTAATAGAGTCATTATTATTTTTTCTTTCTGTGAATTCTATTTGTTTATGAGAACCAGAAATATTACTAGTAATAATTGGAGGTAAATTCAGATAAAAACTTTTATGTCCTTTTCTAACAAATTTAACTTGAGGATCTTTTAAATTTCTTAAAGCGTTAGCTTTTTCAAGTAAAAAGTATAATTTTAAAAAATCATCAGATAAGGCACCAATGCCATGATTTTGAAATTGTTCCCACATTTGTTTGGCAGTACGCATTTCGTCAGTGGACATAGTTTCATCTGGACGAACAATTGTTTGACGTTTTAAACCGTCCATAACTTCAGGTAGAAAACTCATGGAAGTTCTTGTTTCAATCTTTTGTTTTGTAGTAGCAAATTGTCTAGTAACTCTTAACATACTAACAGATTCATCATCTTCTTCTATGATAGTAGTCATTCTTTTTATTTGTTGATAAAGTTTTAAATCAGAATTATTTTGAGAAATAGCTTTGATAGTAGCATTAGAAGTTTTACGATATTCGACATAATTATTCAATAATTTTGATAAACGAGGATCTGGGGAAAAGAATTGTAATTCACGTAAATAGGCAAGAAAAAGGTGTAGACAAGCATCAGAACATTTTGACCATTCTAAATAAGCAGAGTCAAAATTTCTTAAACTTCTTGAAGATTCTCCTAATATACAAAGGGCCAAAGATTTTACAATTTTTTGGGCAGACATATTATTAATATTAGATTCGGCAGTAACTCGAGAACAAAGCTCAAATAGATCAATAAGAATTTCTTGATTTTGTTTAGGAAGGTAAAGAAGGAATTGGTTAAATGAGCCTTTTTGTGGATCATAATCCCATTCTAAATATAATTAATTAATTTAAAGAATACGTATAAAAAAATTAAAAAATATATAAGATTTATTAAAAGTTAAGAATAGAAAATTTAATTCAAAATAAAAAACCTTGTTCATATCTAACAAATTCTTCATAATTAGAATAAGGAACAAGTGGTGAGGCGCTATGCCTAAGGGCCCACTTCATAGCTGAAGCGACGTCGCGAATGTTTCGATTTTTGATCTCATCCTCAAATTGGATACGATATTCTCTTAGCATACATTTGATAAGGTACCTGACCTCATCGGCATTGTCACCAACTTTAGTAGGTTTAAAGATATCAATTTCATGCAGTCCTGTTTAAGATTGTTGGATTATTGGATTATTAGATGATTAGTGGATTATTTGGATTATTGAATGATGGGATTATTGAATTATGGAATTATTGGATTATTGAATTATTGGGTTTAATATTAAACTATGAAATCCAAAATATCCAAAATCAAAGAAAGAAAAAAAAAAGTTTTATTAACCTCTTTCTAGTATTTCATCGGCACATCTTTTAACAATTAAATGAACTTCTTCCAAGGTTAAGATCTCAGTAACATCACGAAGAACATCTTTTTTCATGCTTATGCTACGCCTGAAACTTAGCTTTCCTTTTTCGAAAGCATCTTTACTAAAAGTACGAGTCAAACTATTTTTCCCTCTTAACAATGAGTGTCTCGCGCCACGGAACATTTGCATCAAGCAATATATAGGGAGGGCATATAATTAAGAAGCAAAACAAAAGTTGAGCTTCAGGATAAAACGTATAAAACGTTCTTTAGCAAAATTTGATAATTTGTCTATCGTTGATGTTTTAGGTTTTTATTGACATTATTATCTCACACATGATACTTGTGCATTATCTCTATCTAACTTACAATACTAAAAATTTTATCAATTCTCCTGCATTGTCATACAGTTTTAAACCCCGTTTGTTCTCGGTATCATAGTCAATAATTAGGATCATTGTCAACTAGGTCTTAAAATGGATGAATGCTTATTAAATTAACGAACATCAATTTCTTGTACGTGTTTTTTTTCGACATGAATAAGATTATATCGCGGTGGGATTATTCATAGACTTTTTGGTCGTGTTGTTATCCGATTATATCATACGTGCATTTATTCTGAAACACTGTACAATGTTACCCTTTCTAATCAACCAAATTGTGCAAACTACTTTGGATGTCGATCAAAAATCCATAAACAATGAATACTTATTCCATGCGAGATCCTCCACGTGTGAGATGCAATTGCTCACATGACTAGCTAACATTTAACCTTGTATCGAGCCCAATTCGGTTAAGTTATTCAATAATGTACATACTGATGCGTACGTTCCTATATTGGTGTTTTATTCTCCTACTAAATAATATCCGAAAAACATTAAAAAATAATAATAATTAAATAATAACATGTACACATATATAATAATAATATTTATGTCCATAAAAAATAATTTACTAGAGCTGAAAATCTAAAGTACTAAAAATGTTATGTAAATCTTGTCTTAACAATGTTTAGAAATGCATAAAGATAAAGAATAAATAAGCAATATTATACATCATTAAATGGCAAGGACAAGTATGATCTTTCCGGAAACTCAATTATGTCTAATTCTAACCAATTCGATTCCTCGATGCAACATTTAAACATTTTAAGCCCAACCGTCCCTTTCTATAATGTTTTTATGTCGAATAAATACGCCAAATGTTTCATCTTAAATTAATTTGTGAAATTTCTTATTCCAAAAATATAATTTTAAAATTGCATAAAAACTGCATCATGATCATCTAAAAATACATCCCCAAATTTGTATTTCTGTATTTGTGTAATCGTGAGTTTATAAACAAAATTTAAATAACTGTCGAATCAAACCAGGAAACTCCCAAAAGTACTGACCTTCACCGCAGCATTCATATTCGTACATCGTCTAACATTTTCAATTATATGTCTGTAAGATTAAAAAAAAAAAAAAATCTATTTATTTCAAACTTAAATGAAGATATGTCTTGGCAAGACTTTATTTAATCCTACATGCATATCAGAAAATATAGAGGCCATTTAAATCTTTAGAACTTGTACAAAATTAGACAACGTGTACGATATGTGTTTTGCGATAGGGTCACATTACATTTTTTGGGGGCTTCGCTACGCCGCCGTTTTTTCACAGCTGATGTAACATGGTTTGACGAATCGCGCACTGCCAATTTTATCCATTGACAGTTACATTAATTTTTTTATATTACTACCATAAGAATGCTGGACCACTAATATTAATGTTTAGCCTAACCCCTTTTTAGTTTGGGCTTATAATCATTACGTATATATGAAACTTTATTAATAAATATTTATTTTAAAAATTTATTTCCAATATTCGATTAAGAGAATATATAGAAATATTACCGTATATACAGTACGTACAGTACATAATTTTTAAACCTTTATATGGGTGTTATAATAGAAAAAACGAAATTTATAAAAAAAGATTATTAAAAAAAAAGGACGACACCAGAGGTGAAATTCACCGGGTATGTTGTTTCTCAAAAACGGCTTTGATAACTGTATTAGGTGCACTAAGTAAAAATTTTCAGCTTCTAAAAAACCCTAACCTCCATTTTAATTTAAGCCTTAAACCCTAAAGTTTAATTTTAACTTTAAAATTTAATTTGTGATAAATTTTCTATAGATCATATAATGATAATTATAATAATTAAAAACATGTGGTGAATTTCACCCCGGTGTATACCAAATAAATTCAAAATACAGTGTTATAAATTTAATAAGTTATAAGAAGTTACAAATTTTAAAAAGCTATAGCGCGAAATTTTATTAACTCAACAGCCTATTGACTTTTAATAAAAATATTTCCAATTATATTTTAAATTGATTAATTGTCCATAGCGAAGCGAGGACTATCAATGTACGGTGAATACAATGTCATTCCATTGTGACATCGATCATTTGAAATTCTAAAGTTTTACTTTTTTTTCACTTCCAGACGTATCGCATAATGTGCGTGCCTAGTGTAACAAATTTTTATTAACAAGTTATATAATATATACATACTGTATAATAAATATAATAGTTTTAACAAAATATCTAATATGAGAACCCCCATAGCAAAAGAAGGCAGTAGGAAAAAAATTTTAATTTTGTAATTTTATAAAAATTTTATTTTTGATACTTTAATTCTTCAAGAAATTGAGTTTAAAGATTTTTTTTTTTTTGTCCACTGCCTTCTTTTGCTGTGGGGGTCCCCATATACAGGTTAGTAGGGACGGTCCGGTCCTAAAAGACCGGTCTATTACAGCTGTTCTCATAAATTTTGGAAAATTGACCGAAATATTGTTTGGCCGATTCGATAAGCTTGTGATATGGCAGTGATAACTTTTAACTTGAGTAATTAGTATATAAAAGCGATATACATTTTTAATTCATAGCGATAATATCTTCAGAACGGGTGTGGGTCAAAATCCCGACAAACAGAATCCAGACAGGTCATAATCCCGACAAAAAAATCCCGACAGTCGAAAATCCCGACAATTAAAAATCCAGACAGCAAGGATTTTTAGGTAGAAAATCCCAAGTACGAGATATGTTTAAAGCGAAATAAACTCTTATAATTTAATTAATTTTAGGGTTAGGTCACTTTAGATAATGGTTAAGATAGGGTTTGCTATGGTCTATGATATTTTTTATCAGAGTTTTTAATTGTCAGAATTTTTAACTGTCGGGATTTTTGACTGTCGGGATTTTTAGCTGTCAGGTTTTTGTCAGGATTATGACCTGTCGGGATTCTGTTTGTCGGGATTTTGACCCAAACCCGTTATAAAGTATGATATTAGCCTATGATCGGTCGATGATTTGTTCGACTAACAACACTAGTCTACCCTCATCTTAGTATTTAAATTTTGACATACAAAATACATATTATATTATATAATCACCAGTGATGGGCTGACCATACCAATTCGACCATTTTGACCAATGACCAGTCTGGTCAAGCATCTTTAAGTTGGTCAAATAGTCTAGTTATATGAACAAATGACCAATTTGACTATAATCAAATCTTAATTTGGTTCATATTGCTAGACCATTTGACCAATTTAACTAGACCAGTTTGACCAGAAACCCTACCAGCAAATTTATAGTCGACCACTAATTTGACCAACACTGATAATCACTCATTAACGAAATCACGAACTTATCGAATGCCAAAAAATCATTTTGTCATTTTTTCACCTGATGTTTCAATATTTATGAGAACAGCTGTAATGTTTTCATTCCAGCCCCAAAAACGGTCCTTAATTATTTAAGCCTCTAAACATCTTATTGGCTAGCAGAGAAAATCAAATCATATGCGTCGGTAATTGAAAATAAAAAAGTACGTAACATATGTTTTAAGGGAACGCCTATTTTCACCATGAAACTTTACTTTCCACCATTGGACATAATTTATCATGATAATATGTTCATCATGTTTATGTAGCTGAAGTCATATGAAAAGCATGGTGTAAATAGGAGTTCCCTGTTTTAATTAGATATTTGAATTATTCATAAGGACTGGTTCAGACTGGTCTCAGGACCGAGGACCCGTTAACCATAAGACTGGTTAAAAAAGCCTGGTCCTTATTCGGTCTTTTCAGGACTGATCCATCCCTATAGGTTAGTAACAACAATATAAATAACAAAAAATACCAATAAAATTAATAAATAATGTATAGTTAGAATTATAAGTATTCTAAAAAAGTTGGCTCTTATCAAAAAATATAAAAAAATTACTACTATGTTCTTATATAATAGTATTTGCTGTAAAGATTTAAGATTATAACTTTTTAATTTAAAAATTAAGTTAAGCTTTAAATCTTGTAGTGAAATTTTTTTGTATAATAATCATGTATGAAAAATACGTATTATTTTCAGATGCACAATTACACATTAAAAAACATTAGGCTCGATATGTGCGGATATACAAATGCTTTATTGATACGTATATATTTCGAAATGCACATGCAAGAAATATTAATGTTTCTGATAGAGCCTGGACACATGTCTGGTCTTGTCAAAATTGCACAGAAGAACATAACGCAGATTGAAAAAATCATGTATATTTTTATTTTTCCGAATTCCAATAAAACAAATGAGGAACAGTATTACATAAACATAAAAATATACATGATAACTTTCTATAACATCCAAGATTAAATCATTATCTCAAATTTTCTTTTTCTTGGATGATATTTCCACGTTTGCAATCATGACATTATCATTACCAATTTCTGAAGGAACACTTGTAATGTAAGCCAATATACTTTCAGAACTTGAAGTAACTAAATCCTAATGTCCAAACATCAATTACATTAGCATTAGTACCACTGTATAAACAATAGCTCATGCCAAACACTTACTCGTAACATCCACAAGTTTGAAGCTAAAATTGACAACTCTTTAAAAAGTAAGAATGCAATTATTGGATAAGAGAACATCATCTCAAGTCTGAAATAGTAAATGCCCGCGAATGCCATGCACATATTAACTATGTAGAAGTTGTGGTCTATAAGAATTTTTGAATAGAAAAATATAAGTATACACCGTACTTTTAGTATATACTGGTTGTATAAGTCCTTTTTAAAAAAATAAATACTAGCAGCATAGAGGGCTTTTCACTGTAATTGGCTGATTTTTGTAGGTCATCCCGTGATATTGCAAGACAAATTTTATACTGTACGAAACTATAATTAATAATTGAATATTTATTACTACCGTATAAAATCAAATTGGTATTAATAAACGCATTACTACGAAATCTATTAACTCAAAGTCTAAAACTATCATCCCGATACAAAGAAAATCCAAAAAATCTTATTTTTTAAAAAAATATTATTACACCAATTTAAAAAAAAAAAAAAAAATTATACATAAAAAGCAAACAAAACAGATAAAAAAATATAATAACAGTTAACCAATGCCAAAGAATTTAACCATATTCTAAATTAATGATCTTAAACGTAATACTGTGCTTTAATATCATACGTACTATATTTTAACCCTTATCCTTTAAACTGTTTTCCAGGCAAATTTGCCTGGAAATTGCAGGATTGATCTGTAATTAGACTATCAAATTATATTGGATAAAGTTTCGCTTATGTTTTTTTATTGCTTCACATGGCAGTACGATTACCTTTTGAGAAATGATCTTCAAAAATCAAAATATATACGTACGTACGTATCGATATCGATACGCATGCATTATTAAAAATATAAACAAAATATATGCATTAAGAAAATGATTTTATTAAGAAAATGGGTTTATTATTAAGAAAAAAGTGTAATTATTAACATGATTAGGGAATTATCTCACGAATTTTCATTGGTTTTTGTAACCATTGCATAGACGTGCATTCATTTTGCCTAGACGTCATGAAAATATCGTATACGCGATGTCTTTTTTAATTTATTTAAATACAAGTCATTCTTGTAATAATGAAGAAAATTTCGCAGCCTGATCACTTCATTATAACGAGAGTGACTTGTACCAACAATTTCTCTCTTTCTCTCCATACTCTACGTTTATCAAAAATAATGACGTCGCAATTTTTGCAAAACAAGTTAATTAGGCAGCCCGATTTTTCTAATCGTGTTGCGATTGGGATAAATATATATAAGATTGAGTACAATAATGAGATACTTGTATTCAAGGAATTGAAAAAGTCAGAAAGAATCCAGGATACATTAGAGATAATAAAAATATTACAAAATCACCCACATCCTAACGTTGTTAAATTTTATGATGTAATAAACAGTAAGTAATCCATTTTTACTTTTAACTGGTAATGCCATTTCACCAACGGTCATTTCGCGCATTTGGCCACATCGTCAACAATGGTCAACATTGTCATAGGCCCAACGCTGATAACCATAGCTACAATAACCGACAATAATTGAATAACTGTATAACCGACCGATCCCATCCCTAGCAGTGTTTGCCATTTTGGGTCATATCCAGCTTTATATGATTATATGACCAAGATGGTCATAATTTAATACGTAGTAAATTTTATAACAGGTCATAAGGTCATAACCTATAATTGGCTAATAGGTCATAGTCCAACACTGATCCCTAGCGCTAGGGTATGATTAGTTGCAGGTATATATGAGTGCGTGAGAGTGAAAACTGGAAACCGATTTAATGATTTACTATGATCGGTTTCCAGGTTTTCACTCTCACGCGCTCATATATTTTTAGTAAATTGTCACTTGGCGTGATGTTGATGTCGGCGGCTAAATGGGCTCGGTAAATGATTGGTGAAGTAAGAGTTTACCATCTATGCAAACTCTTTCAGATTATTTACTGATTTTAATAAACAGACTCATTTGGAGACATTGTTCTAGCGATGAAGTTTGCTGAAGGTGGAAATTTAAGACAGCATTTAAATGTTAATTTAGAGACCATCGAAAAGTTAAAAATTGCGAAAGATATTACAGAAGGTCTTAAGTTTTTGCATGATAATAATATTATACATTGTGACATGGTAAGCTTATGTGCCTTTTCACGATATTTGTAAAGATATTTATTAAATTAATTGTAATATATATTTATAGCATACAGAAAATATTTTGGTCCACAAAGGAAGAATGATAATTGCCGATTTTGATTTCTCTAAATTTTCAAACTCTGAGAGTGAGATTTATGGGGTAGCGGCATTCATTGATCCTTGTGTACAAATATTATCAAATAAAGCCATATTTACTACTAAATATGATATATATGCCTTAGGCTTCATTTTTTGGGAAATTTCAAGTTGTCGTAGACCATTTGATGGCAAAACACCTCTAGAAATTATAGCACTTGCACAGGACGGTGTAAGAGAGACCGCCTCAGAAATGTTATTGGAGTATGATTGTCTTTACAAAGATTGTTGGGGCGAAGATCCTGAGAAACGGCCAGAAGCAAATGCTATTCTTGAAACATTGAACGATATTATTGAAAACTATAATATCAGTAAGGTTTTAAAATAGAAACACTATGACAAATAATCTCGTAATTCAAGACGAACTCTTTGTTAAGGGTAGAGTATAACATTTCTAAATTATATATAAATTTAATTGCAAATTTTTTTATATTTAATGTTTTGAAAAAAATACGAAGTAAACAATTTTTAATTCTTAAGTAAAAGTTGTATAGTAGGTTTTTCTGATTCTAATAATAGTAAATTATTAAAATTAGTTAAAAACTCATTAAGATATGAAATTTTAAATATTAAGATATAAAATTATATAATAAAATTAAATTATAAATTTATGTAAATTAACCAATTGAATTCTCTAATTTCGTACCACCTAGGCAAATTTTGATTGATCTAGACAAATTTTATCATATATACAGTATCTTTTTTTTGCTTTGACTTAGCTTACATACTTTACACTTTGTTATTGTCAGCTTTTTGTCTTTCGCGTTTAGTTAAAATATTTTAAATATGTTAGTAATAATTTTTTAATTATAAAACTTGTATTTCTTTTGTTTTTGTTATTATTTTTTTTGTTTTCTAAAAGTATTTTTGATAATACGTATTTTGAGTACATAATTATTTAGTTTTGTTATTAATTAGTTTTCTTTTAAATTTCTATTTTGTTTATTTTTTATTAATGTTTTTTTTTACTTTTATAAACTATTTTGCTTGTTTATTTTTATATAATTTTCTTTATAATAGTTTTATTTGATACTATAAAATCATTTAGTTATCTGTTTTAATTTTTTTTATTTAGACAGTTCTGCTAATACTTTTTATTAAGATTTATGCTTTATGCAAACATTTTGAATTTAAGTTTCAAGTTAGCATTTTGTAATTACTTTTATAAGCCTTATAAATAATTTGTTTAACAAAACCAAATCCTAAAAAGATAGTCTAAGGTTGCATCCAACCACTATTCTGCAATAGAATATTGTTAATATAATAACATTTTTTTATAAAAAAGTAAAAAAAAAACAAATATATATATATATATATATAAAACAAAAATATAAAGATAAATAATAAAAAATATAAAATAAAAGATAAAAAAATAAAAAAATAAATCAAAATTTACATCTTATTATTATTAAACAGTTATAATTATAAGTTTATATTAGATTTTTAAAAACTATAAACTATATTAAATAAAAACAGATTTACTATTTTTCCATTTACTTAGATTATTTATCAAAGAATTATAAAAAAAAATTTGACTTAAATAAAGAGAGTTGATATAAGGTACTAATTAGTTTAAAAACAGTATTTTATAGGTTTTTGGCAGTTCAAAGCATATGTATAAGTAATGCATGTATTGCTATATTGTTTTTAATCTATCTATATTATTAAAAATTCTATTTTAAAAAATAAATACTATTGATTGTTTTAGTAATTTATATATTAATATTTTTAAAAAATAAACTAAATTGTTCATTTTTACAAATTTTTTTTTAAAAAAATAGAAACAACAAAATTTTACAAATAGTTTTTTATATAAATTTTATAGTTGTATAATAGTTATTTCAAACTTCTAATAGTTCTAACTTGAATATTTTTATAATTGTTTTTAAAAAAAATTTGAATATTAAATAGAAAGATAAATTTATTAAAAAAAAATTTATTTTTTTATAAACAACTACAAGTACATCTGCTTCTTATTTATTTTAGTTTTGTGTTAAAACTTATTTTATATAAGATTAAAAGTATTATTTTCTTAATCTTATTATAGTAATTTTTGTGCTTAGTTATTATTATTGCTGATCAATAAATTGTTAGAAAGGAAGGGTATGGGTCCC